AGCAAGGCCGTGAATGGCCTTGTAGGTGAGGATGAGGATCTTGAATTTGATCCTCTGGGGGATGGGGAGCCAGTGGAGGCGAGTGAGGGTGGGAGTGATATGGTCGCGAAGCCTGGTGCGGGACAGTACACGAGCTGAAGAGTTCTGAATGACCTGCAGCTTGTGGAGGGAGGTGCCGGGAAGGCCGGCGAAGAGAGAGTTTCCACAGTCCAGCCTTGAGGTGATAAAGGCGTGGACCAGAGTTTCAGCAGCAGTATTATCTACCCAGTGCTAAGGGCATGCTGGTTCCAGGGCCCGTAGCTGCGCTTAATGTCATTGCCAGGAGTGATTCCAGCAAAGGTGCAAGTTTTCTCCTGTCACAAAGACTGTCATCGGTTGCTGCGAGAATACATTATCCAGTTAATAGAATGGGATCAGATGATTTGTAAGGAATGAGATATGACTGTTCTGTGACCCAGATAATGGTTTGAACACTGCTTCCAGAACCCAGCAAATAATTCCTCCTTCATTTGGAAGCTGTTTTCTTTTTATAGACATGTTTTAGAAAAGCTTCCAAATTAAGACTGAATTTAAGAATGTTCCACAATCCTGCACACTTACATTTTAATATGGGCTAAGACAATGTGGAATTTTAGACCTCAGAGAGCCTCAAATGCAATTCCATGAACTTAGCTGGGCCAATAGTTGTGAGCTGCAATTGGCTGTGGGTTAGGGAGAGAGAAAGTAACCAACAATAAGACAATCGGACTGCTGGGATATATTGCTAAATCGGTTGAGCTTAGATATCCAGAGGTCATACACAGAAATGTTTACTGCTCTGGTCAGACCAGACCTTGAATTACTGTTTGTAGATCTGGTCCCCGCACCATAAGGGAGAGCCTTGGCCCCAGCATCACTGCAGAGCAAAGCATCACTGAGGATCTCCAAAAGGCAAACTAATCTTCATCCAAACTAATCTTGTGTTCAGATAGATATGGAACTTTCTCCCTTGTGCAGTAGAGCTGCTCCCTCTTCTGGTGAGTTATTTATTTTCCATTTTGGGGATAGGGAGTCATCCCACTCATCTCTTGTTAAGCTTGAAAGCCAAAGGCCGAGCAGGTCGGATGGTCCCAGCTGGACAAGCAGCGGGAAAGCTTGCCAGACAGTGCTATCAATGGCAAACTATGTGGCTTTAGCTGGTTAGACTCTAGCAGTTATCACAACGCACACTCTGGGGTCCCCCAGCCTTGGTGCCTAATACTTTCTGGAATTAGGTAAGAAGGATGCGTCCCTCCATGAATATAGCTAGCATTCCATTCATCAATTTATCTCTGGAATCTCCATGTGTAGGTAGGATGCACGGAATTCTCAATTTGGCTTGGAGATTCTTAGGCATGGTGATGGATTTCTGGATGTGTCAGACACCCGGCTGGGCAGAGAAAAATCATTTATTCATCAACCCCAGACTCTGAAAACCGCTTTCACAACTTTGAACTTCATTCTGAGTTGACATTTACTGGTGACTAAAGCTGTGCAAAATTATAGTATGTATTTCCTGCATTATGCGTTTATGGAATCAATAAAATCCAATAATGCAGGTCAATAATTTACAAAAGCAACTGCAGGAAAGTCCTTCAAACAACAAATAAAACAGCTTGTAAAAATAATATAATCCTTCATTTGATTCAATGCTGTTCATGTCATGTAGGCTCAAAGGGCAGAATGCCACATGAAAGACTTGTAAGAAAGATAGAAGCCCATGGTATAAAAGGGACAGTGGCAGCATGGATCCAGAACGGGCTGGGAGACAGAAAGCCAAGAGTTGTGGTGAAAGGCTGCTTTTCTGACTGGAGGGAAGTGTCCAGTGGCGTCCCCCAGGGATTGGTATTAGGACCATTGCTCTTCTTAATATACATAAATGATCTGGACTTGGGTATAGCAAGTACCATTTCCAAGTTTGCGAACGACACAAAGTTAGGTAGGGCGGTAAACAGTGAGAAGGATAGCAGCCAACTGCAGGAAGACATAGACAAAATGGTAAAATGGGCGACACATGGCAGATGAATTTCAACGTGGAGAAATGCGAAGTAATGCTTTTTGGTAGAAACAATGAGGGGAAGCAATATAGGCGGTAATACAATCTTAAGGGGAGTAAAAGAATAGAGAGACCTGGGGGTTCCGGTAAATGAATCCTTGACGGTAACAGGACAGGTAGATAAAGCTGTAAAAAGGGCATATGAGATACTAGGCTTTATAAATAGGGGCATAGAGTCCAAGAGTCAAGGGGTGATGATTAACCTATATAAAACACTGGTTTGGCCTCAGTTAGAATACTGCCCCAGTTCTGGGCACCACACTATAGGAAGGATGTTAAGGCATTGGAAAGGGTACAGAGGAGATTTACGAAGATGGTACCAGGAATGAGGGACCTTGATTATGAGGAAAGGCTGGAGAGGTGAGGATTATTCTCATTGGAGCAGAGAAGGTTACAAGGAGACCCGATAGAAGTCTTCAAAATCATGAGGGGATTTGATAGGTTCGAAAGGGAAAAACTGTTTCCACTGGTGGGTGTGTCGGTGACTCGAGGTCACAGATTTAAAAAGTATCTAAAAGAAGCCATGGGGAGGTGAGAAGAAATGTTTTCACGCAGCGAGTTGTTCGAAGCTGGAATACATTGCCTGAAAGGGCGGTCGAGGCCGATTCAATAACAACTTTTAAAAACTCGGTGGATGGGTATTTGAGGAGGACGGGTTTGCAGGTTATGGGGAAAGGGCCGGGGAGTGGGACTGACATTAATTGCTCTTTTCAAAGAGCCGCACAGACTCGATGGGCCGAATGGCCTCTTTTTGTGCTGTACGATTCTATGATTCTATGGTCAATGTACATGTAGCATGGAAACATGCCACTCCACCCAACTAATCCATGCCGGTGTTTATACTCTACACGAGCCTCCACCCACGCCTTCTTCTCTCCTATGATCAAATTCCTCTCTCTTCCATAATGGTCGAGCTTCCTCTTGAATGCAGTTACACTACATTGGTTTTCAAACAAAATTTCTTTGTGGTCTCAGTGTGTGGTCACTAATATTTACACGGTGCTAGTTTTTCCTAAAAATACTTAATCATATGAAAAATAAAGGAACTACAGACATAAGCACATCTCAAATAGTTTTCATTTATTTCTGTACATTTAACAAACCACATTTGTAAAAAACGTTTCTACACAAAACCTTGCACAGACAGTAACAAGAACAGCACAATTCATGAAAACCATTTGAGAAAATCAGGTATCAAAATAAGCACTAATGTTCTTTTGACTTGACCATGGTCATATGCCTATTTAAATAGGTCTAAATATATCTAAATATATCTACATTTATTTAAATGTATGGAGGTGTATTTCCTTTTAAGGAAGCGAATCTTATTTTTCAATGGCAAATAATGAGCCACTTAATGTGTAGCTGCAGGACATCTGGTTAACAAGCATATGAATGAAATCTGACAAACAATCACTACTTTTTTGGTGAATTTATTAGAGCAGGTTGCACGTGTAAGGCACTATATATATAAACAAGTACTTGTTTCAGATGTTGTTTTCTTTGCTATGGATTATTTGGGTTTGTATCTTTATTACAAATATGTAACATTAATAATTTTTTTCTATTATGCTGTAAGTAGGCCTACATTTTTTCTTCAATTTATTGCAAAAATCCTGGATTCCTGCGGCTTAGTGGTTAGTGAAGTCCTGTAGCTCAGTGGTTAGAGCACTCGCTTTGCAAGTGAGAGACCTGAGTTCAATTCCAGGCAGAGGGCGAAACCTTGGGCAAGTTTCCTTACTCCACACAGAGCCTAATAATAATCCCTCCAAAAACCCCAAACAATAATAAATTGGTCATTTTCAATCTACGACTGTTTGTGGGACATTGCTGTGCGCAATTGGCTGCCGCGTTCGCCCACAAATATACAGTCAATTCACTTTACAGTGTGTTCTGTGAAGCGCTTTGGGACGTCCTTCCGACGTGAAAAGCGCTATATCAAATGCAAGGATTATTATTATTATCCATGACCTTGCCCCCTCCTACCTCTCTGACCTGCTGACTCCCTAGAAACCTGCCCGCTCTCTCCATTCAGCGGGCTCTGGTCTGCTCCACGTCTCCCGCCCGACCCACCCTACCATCGGCGGCTGCTCTCTCTGCCCCCGCACCCTGGAACTCCATCCCACTGTCCCTTCGCCTCGCTTCCTCCCGTGCCTCCTTCAAGGCTGGTCTCAAGACCCTTCTCTTCGATCGTGCCTTTGGTGCCCTCCTACCTCTCTGCCTTCCCTCACCCCTATACCACCTCCCCCCATGCTCGGGCCCCGACACCTGACTATTCAGCGCTTTGGGATGTCCTCTCAACGTGAAAGGTGCTCTATAAATGTAATTTTGTTGTTGTTGTTGTTGTTTCTAGGCAAATTTCCTTACTCCACACGCCTCTGTTTACCTAGCAGTAAGTAGGAATCCAGTTGTTAGTCGAACTGGGGGATCGCTTTCCGGCGGTAATAATCCCTCAAAAAAATGTGTTCACTCAATCCTCGACTGTTTGTGGGAAGCTGCAGTGAGCAATTGGCTGCCACATTTCTACCACAAAATATACAGTCACTCCACTTTACAGTATATTCTGTGAAGCGCTTTGAGACGTCTCGAAGATGTGATAAAGCTCTATATCAAATGCACGGATTATATTATTATATTATATTAATATTATATTATTGCCCGGTTGGGATGCCTTTAGCCCAGTCACTGGCTCAGTGATGCTCATTCCCCAATTTAGAGCCAGGGACACAATGTGCTGAGCAGCGACCCCTTTAAGAGCGCGACCCCTTTAAGAGCGCGACCCCTTTAAGAGGGCGTATCGCTACGGTGAGAGACGGTCTTAGCAGCCAATCGCAATCGCCGATCCGGTGATTGACATTCATACTAACTAATGGCGGGTGTGATTAGCAGAGATGACAGCCAATGGAGGCGCGGGCTGGGTGGGGCGGGGCGGGCGGGAGCGAGAGTCCGGGATTAGGCGAGTCCGGGGCGGCGCCGTCAGGTTAGGCCGCACCGGGAGTGAGTGACAGAGAGAGAGCGAGAGGGGGAGCCGAGGCCCTGGCCGGGGCCTGAGTAAGATGGTGGCCGTGTTGCTGCTCCTGGTCTTGGCCGCCTGGACCTCGCCGCTCCGCTGCTGCCCCTCGCGCTGCGCCTGTGGGGCCGGGCGGCTGGACTGTAGCGCGCGGGAGGCCGCTCCCCCTCAGCACCTGCCGCCCTGGGTCTCCAAACTGTGAGTATCAGCGGCTCCGGGACAGCGCCGCCGCCCACTCCCCCCCACACCCCCCCCACTCACCCCCCCAACACTCTCCCCCGCCACTCTCCCCTCCCCCACACTCCCCCCCCCCACTCCCCCCCCCCACACCCCCCCCCCACTCTCCCCCCCCCCACACTCCCCCCCCCCCCCCCCACACTCCCCCCCCACACTCCCCCCCCACTCTCCCCCCCCCACACTCCCCCCCCCCCCCCCCCCACACTCCCCCCCCCACTCTCCCTCCCCCACACTCCCCCCCCCCACTCCCCCCCCCCACACTCCCCCCCACTCCCCCCTCCCCCACACTCCCCCCCCCCCACTCTCCCCTCCCCCACACTCCCCCTCCCCCCACTCTCCCCCTCCCCCACACTCCCCTCCCCCCACTCCCCCCCCCCACTCTCCCCCCCCCACTCTCCCTCCCCCCACTCCCCCTCCCCCACACTCCCCCCCCCACCTCCCCCCCCCCCTCCCCCCCCACACACTCCCCCTCCCCCACACTCCCCCCCCCACTCTCCCTCCCCCACTCTCCCCCCCACTCCTCCCCCCCACTCTCCCCCCCCCACTCCCTCCCCCCCACTCCCCTCCCCCACTCTCCCCCCACTCCCCCCCCCACACTCTCCCCCTCCCCACACTCTCCCCCACACACACTCCCCCTCCCCCACACTCCCCTCCCCACACTCCCCCCCCCCACTCCCCCTCCCCCCCACTCCCCTCCCCCCCCACTCTCCCCCCACTCCCCCCCCCACACTCTCCCCTCCCCCACACTCTCCCCCCCCACACTCCCCCTCCCCACCACTCCCCTCCCCACACTCCCCCTCCCCCACTCCCCCCCCCCCACTCCCCCCCCACTCCCCTCCCCCCACTCTCCCTCCCCCCCACTCTCCCCCCCCCCACTCCCCCCCCCCACTCCCCCCCCCACACTCTCCCCCCCCCCCACTCCCCTCCCCCCCACTCTCCCCCCCCCACTCTCCCCCCCCCTCCCCCCCCACTCCCCCCCCCCACACTCCCCCCCCCCCCCCCCCCCACTCTCCCCCTCCCCCCACTCCCCCCCCCACACTCTTCCCCTCCCACACTCTCCCCCCCCCCCACTCTCCCCCTCCCCCCCACTCTCCCCCTCCCCCCCACTCTCCCCCTCCCCCCCACTCCCCCCCCCCCACTCCCCCCCCCACACTCCCCCCCCCACACTCCCCCCCCACACTCTCCCCCCCACACTCTCCCCTCACACTGTACACAGTCATGTCTCACTGATGGTTTCGGGTGATGTGTGACGAGGTTGGAGGCTCGGGCAGGAGGTCACACAGACAGGAGATGCTCTGGGAAGGGAAGAGATTTAGAGATGAAGGTAACGGCTTTGAAATCAAAGTCCTGGTTCTCACTTCAATTCTAACCTCAGTCTTTGAAAAAGCCTAACAGTAATAATAATACTTTATTTGATACAGTGCCTCATCATGTCTTCGAGACGTCTCAAAGTGCTTCATGGAACGTACTGTAAAGTGTAGTGACTGTATTTTGTGAGCAAATGCAAGTTGCTCTAACAATAATCAAACATTTCACTAGCTTTGGCTCCCACAATAAATGTTTCTCTACTTTCCCAACAGAATAAAACTTTAAATAGGTCACCCTTGCGGTTTTAGTTTAGTTTTGTCTCACAAAGTGTTTGTTTTATATTGCAGGATTATATATTGGTTGTATATTGTTAGTTAAAGTTGCTGTCACTGCCCAAGAAACAATTAATGATGCAAATCAAAACAGCATCTTTAAAACATTGATTTCTGAAAATCTTGTTGAGAAGTTTTGCTGAGAAGGGGAAGCACCTTTCTGATCTGGTTGAATGTCTCTTAGTGAGGATGAGGCTGATTAATGTAATGGTGGAGAGATTACGCTACAATTGTAGAGCAGATACTATAGCACTTGAGATTGGTAGTGATGGCAATTGTTTAAGAGTTTGATTCCTATGATAGTTTTTTTCTAGACACTAGCTATTCCATTTTGAGCAGTGGATATCCAGGCTAGGGGTACCTTAACATCCCATCAGTTTCCCACTGTCTGTAATCTGTCACTTTTGTGATTACATTGTTGTTTCACTGATAAAAGCAAACTTCTTCCAGCAGAAAGAGAAGATAGGTGGCTTTGCAGAGTTTGTATAATTTGATTTGTGGTCTTAGATCCAGGTTAAAATACGGGGATCATTTTCTGCTCCAGTTGTGTCACACAATGTGTCCTCTCACTGTGTTTCTGTATGTGGAGTCCTGTAACTCCACGTATAGGGTTTGATTCCCGGCAGGGTGAAAAAAATATGCAGTCAATTTACTTTACAGTATATTCTGTGAAGCGCTTTGAGACGTCTAGAAAGCGTGAAAAGCGCTATATCAAATGCAAGGATTATTATTATTATATTACACAGACCTGCTCTTGCATTGGTTGCTGTCTCATGTGTATTTTGGGTATTTTATTTTCCTGGCATCTTGTTTCTGGCTTAAAACCTGCTCCTGACATGGATGCTGAATAATACCTCTACAAAGAGATGATTCCTTGGAAGCACTGATGGTTATTGCCTTTGCAGTATATGGATTACAGGCACTTGTCTGTATTGATTTGCCTGATTGACTTTTGTAATTTTCACTGTGAAATATAATTCCTTTTCTACTGTTTTCAGGGGATGTGGTAATGAGAGTGTAGGACTAAAGCAGTATACAATACCTACTAATTTCATGGCTTTTCATGGAAGGACATGCGATTATAGACAAATGTGGCAGACATTTGTGTTTATGACATAGTTAGGCTTCACAGACCGTGAATGGCCAATTAATCTGTATGATTGTTGGCTGGGACCCAGGGAGAAACTCTTCTCTTTTTTAACAGTATCCCTGAATCTTTAACGTCCACCCAAAGAAGTAAATGGGTCCTCAGTTTGTCTCATCCTCTGACAGTGTAGCACTACCGCAGGGTTGCACAGACAGCCTAGACAGTCAGTACAAATCTCCTTGTGGGTCTGGAATTCACTGCCTTCTGATGTAGAGACCAGATTAATTCTGAATGTTTTGTTGAATCAGAATTATTATTTTGCAATACGTAGAAGGAAGTTATTCAGAGTTAATGAGGATGTCATTGGATCTCAATAATGTAAGAATGAATACACTGTTTAGATGCTCTTGGACAATGTGAACGAGGGAGTGGGGAGGGGGCTCTGGAATGGAGAACCCTCACAAACTGCCCATTTAGACACATGTGATGCAAGTGCTTTGAGACATTCTCCCAATGTGAAAGGCACTATATATAAATGTGAAATAAGTATTGTATCTTTTAAAATAACTTGGCTAGGAATAATCAATATCAGTGCTGGTCGTGTTACAAATTAGCCGTGTGAAGTTGCATTGATATTAAATTACTAGTAATTTAAATCTCAGGTTGATGGTACTGTATTATTCACTTGGAATGGATCTGGGTAAAACCATGACTTGATATGAATTAAAATTGAACCCAGGTTTTATTTTGCCTGAGCAGATATCACTGAATCAAGAGTTTAAACACATAAATCAGTGTAATTTCCGGTAACTTGGATTGTAATCCTCCAGATATAATTACTCATTCACTTCTGAGTTCTTGGTGGGACAATGCTTTGTGGAAATTGGTTTTGCATTGCCTATAAATGCACAATTACTTCACACTTCACAGTATATCCTGTGATCCAGTTTGAGATGTTTGATTATGTATTATTAAATCTGTCCTGAAGATGGTGTTGATTTACAGTGATTGTGGGGAACGAGCACTCTGTGGCTTCACATAGTTTTGAAATGATAAATCTGGGTCAGAGATCAAAATATCTGTCTTGGAGGTTTGGCTGAATGAGCTCATCAATAAACTGCGTTGGATTGGCTTCTCGGGTTTTGAAGAATAAAAGGCTGTTTGTGAACTGGAACGTCTGCAAATAAACACTCTCCAATATGGGTCTCTGTGTAGGCTAAGACTGGAAGTGGGGATTGCAGTAATGGTGGAGTTTTTAATGGTGTACGCTTCTGTTTCTTATGTATTTTGTGCTCCCATTATCTGAATAATTCAGACACTGATTGCACTAAAAGGCTATACTATCAGAACCTATGTCCTGTATAATATGGAAGCTGTGAATAATTCATGATTCTTTGCAGCTATGAACAGTGACATATTGGTTCAGACCCTTAACATTTATCACTTTTAAATTGTGATGATGAGATCAGCTCCCGAGTTTGTGTGAATGTGTGTGTGTGTTAGCACCTGTTGTCATGTGTGGAAATTCTGGGCATATCACAACTGCTCTATCTTACCGGCAGGATGCTTCTGTCCAGCCTTATTAACTTGTCCCAACCATATCATTACAGTGTCCTCCCAATGTGAAAAGTGCTATAGAAATATATATATATGTAATGTATTGCAAGCAATACTATTATATTATAAAAGAGGCAGAAACTGTCTGTGACACAGCCTTAGTTATTTTCATCCATTTCTTCTCCAGAGACTTGAGTCACAAACAGTTGCATTCTACAAAAGAGATGAAATTTGATGGTCTTCACAGACTTCAGGAAGTGTAAGTGTCCACCGATTACTAAATACCGAGATTAGATTGTGAACGTCTAAGAGAAGTAACCCCGACTACAGGTAGTGACCAACTATGAGGCTCCTGATGCTAACTCAGATTTTTTTCTTCCTAACTAAGGAAAATGAACTATAATGAACTGTCTACAATCCCATCATTTGGCGCAGTAACCTCGAACCTCACACTACTGTCTCTGTAAGTACTTCCAGCCACATCCTGTAACCAGGCGCCACTTTAAACCAACAAATTGTTTTACATTTTGCAATCTGATAAACGGTAATCTTCACCTGAATTAAGTATTGTCCTCAACATATGTGAAAGACAAGGGAATAGAGCGGTTTAGGAGAAAGGACAAGGAGAGAATAACATAAGGAAAATAATACCAGCGCAAACAAATTTGGCCAAATGCTATGTTTCCATGATGTATCTTTCCATGTAACTCTTGACACTCCTACAAGCATGCCCAAATGATCTTAATCATGCGCTGCGCACATAAATGCATGTATGCGCACAAATGTGTAAGATGTGTATGCACACATATTTTCCTCCCTCACCCCTGTGAGATATTGGTTGCAATGAGTTCAGCCCCTTGCAAGGCTCCTAATTCTTGTCATTAGGGTGGAAAAATTTGAAAGTTGGAACCTGTTGTGACTATTCTCTCTCTGACAGAAAACACAATCAGGTGTTTGAGATCATAGCAGCAGATCTTCAACCCTACAGCTCTTTGGAAACCTTCGATCTGAGCTTCAATTCCATTTCTGAAGTGACAACGTCTTCATTTCCTATAATGCAGCTGAAATATTTGTAAGTAAATTGGTATTTAAAAGCTCACTGCTCTGTCCCCTTGCGCTAGGCTCCCATCTCTGGAGCTGATACATGCCCCGTGCTGGGTGCTTCTCAGCCACACGTGAGGTGAGAGCTGAACAAACCTCCTCAGCAGCAGGTAGTCTCTACAGTGAGAAGAGAGGCACAATTTGAGACTCAGTATGTGCACAAGCTCCATATTTACGGTCAATTCACTTTACAGTCTATTCTGTGAAGCGCATTGAGACGTCAAGAAGACATGAAAAGCATTATATCAAATGCAAGGATTATTATTATATAGACACTAATGTCCCAGAGTGTAACTGGGCAAATTGGTAGTTTGGGAAGGGGATGTGCAACACATGCAAACATAATACAATGTATTTTTAGGGGTGGGGGTATGAGTGCCATTGCTGAATTTGTGCCCCATTTAAGCAACCCTTTCAGATTGAAATTATTTTGGGTGTTTTTGCAGTTAACAGTAAAACTCAAGTTGTATCAATCAGGACCATAACAAATCTTTACCTCCAGTGGGACTGACTGACTTGATCTCTCAAATGTTTTTTAGACACCTCAATAATAACCGAGTCACTTTCATGGAGCTCGGCTGCTTCGATAACCTGTCCAGGACTTTACTCGTCCTCAAGCTGAACCGCAACAGAATTACTGTTATTCAGCCAAAGACGTTCAGGTTGCCTCAGCTCCAATACCTGTAAGTAGCTTAGCTTTTTATTTTGATATACTAATGGTATACTATATATACAGTACGAATGGCGATAGAATGCTCCATGAGGAAGCTTTGCTCCCAATGCAGCTTTTAACAATAACAACCAACCAATTACATTTGTAACATGATATAAACAGATCGTTCTCACTGTCCAGCTATAGTTAGAATGACCCATGCAGTTATTCTGATGGTCTGAGTTGAAGTGATCAGGTGTGTCTAATGCTAAGGCTGCTATATTGTGACCCGGACAAGCTCTCTCAGGCCTGGCTTGAATATATTTACCAAAGTAGCAGTTTTGTCCTAACTGTTTAAGAAAACTATTCCAACTGAGTGTCAAATACGCACTGAATTTCTGCCTATTGTTTGTCAGCAGCAACAGGGACCATAGCTTTGTCACTATTTATACCTTTGACACTATTTATACCTTTATACTTTTGTCACTCTATACCTTCTCCATTGAATCTGCTTCCATGTCAAGGTATGAATAAACATTGCAGTTTCAAACCTGCAGAAACTGGATTAATTTTTGCAATGTCCATTGTTCTCATCTAATGTTTGTTTGTTTAATAATATTCTATATTCATTTCAAGTTTATTATTTATTACCAAATAACTGAGTCAGATATAAATTACCTGCTGTATAACATTCCGTTCTATTCCTAATCAAATTTATAAAGCACTTTGATATGAAGTGAAAGTTGTTGTATAAATGGAAGTTATCAGTTATATAGTTCTTCAATGAAGGAATCTATTGTAAAACTAATTCTGTCCTGTTTGTTTGGATGAAGGATTCATTACGGGGTTAACTTTGTGCATTTCTTTGTTAACAGGGAACTGAAGCGGAACAGAATCAGAGTCATTGAGAGCCTAACCTTTCAGGGACTGGACTCCCTGAAATCTCTCAAATTAAAGCGTAACGGAATCTGCGAGTTAAAGGATGGAGCTTTCTGGGGATTGAATGAAATTGAGGAGCTGTAAGTGAGGGTTTCTGCAGCTTCTTGCTGAGTCTCTCTCCTTTTCTCTTGATATGTGAAGTAATTAGGAAAATTAACGTGTGTAGCAAACTTAAGATAAAATTGGTCAACCACTTCAGAAGTGTCTGAGGGAAATTACTGTGCACAAATTGGTTGCCATGTTTACGAATATAATGTATGGTCTCTGCACTTTGCAATAAATTCAGTGAAGGACTTTGAGATGGTTAAGGGTGCAATATCAAATACAAGGATGAGTATTATTAATTATTTGAGATATTTTGACGTGATTAAACTCTGCAAATTTTTATTCTGATACATTTTGGTCTTTATTTTAAAGAAATTAGAATCTTAAATGAACTGGTTATAAAGTGAGTATTGTCTGAAACAAAGTTGGATTTAATCTTGTTTGTTTGAACCTTGTGATCAGGTTAGCTTGTGCACCTCTTACTGCTAAATCCATTCTGGACACTCTTCCTGATGGAGGTAGCTGGAAAATTAGTGAATCATTTATTTTTTCTCTTGTAGGGACTTAGAGGACAACAACCTAACCGAGGTAACCAAAGGCTGGCTGTATGGCCTCAAACTGCTCCAGCGTCTGCATCTCAGCCAAAATGCTGTAGCCAGGATCAGGACAGGGGCCTGGGAATTCTGCCAGAAACTGTCTGAGTTGTGAGTTCCATTTCTTCCGTAGTTTACGTGAAAATCTGATGTTTGCTGATCTGCAGGTGTTTGGTGTCATCAGTGACTCTGCATCAGAGAATCCAAACCAGCCTGAGAGCTCCACATCGGTCTGCCCTTCTTGTCAACAATGGAATGTGCATTTTCTCCCTCAAGGGACGAACCTATCTACCTAATTCTGGCCAGGATTAGGCGCAGGTTGGCGAGAGTTGAGGTTTGGGAAACCCAGAGTGTGTGTTGAGGTAACTGTGGACCTGCAAGAACCAAACTACTGAGACAACAACAACTTGCACTTAGGTAGCACCCTCCACACAGGGCAGCGACTCAGTGCTGTGACGACTGCAGAGGGGTCAAGGTGACATTCCATTTCAGCGGTGTCACCTTAGAGCCAACTAAGCTACTTCCTCCTCTTTCTCTGGTGTTCACCACCTTGTGGCTGTTGCAAACGCCCCACAGCTTTAAGTTGAATTGTTCATTCAGGCAGGAATGTGTTTGTGCTGTGGGATTGCTACAGTAACTCAAAGCAAAGCTGTAAATTGGCATTGAATCCTGAATTGAGTTTATAAAAAGATGCAGATCAATTTATTTCAGATAATACAATTTAGAAGTAGTACAAGCTAGAAAATATCCTCTATCGTTAGTTGCACTGCAAAAAATGTTCGATAGAGCTTCATTAAATCATTGCTGATGATTGCAGCTCCACCTCTGGCCTCCTCTACATGTCAGGATGGTATAGCAAGCTTGCAGAGTGTGTTTTCTCAGCTATCTTGGATGAAAGTTGAAATGCCAGCTACTGAAATGTCAAACCAAATCGCTTTCTGCAACTCTTACGGCATGTAATGAGGAAGGTTCTGGCCTGTCTGATATTAAACAACTTATTTTAAACATAATTTGAAACTGGTGCATAAAAACTGTAATATTAATAAATCTAGATTATCTACTGTGTGCAGATATCTGTTAATCTGGGAGGTGTCTGGATATATGACGTGTGACTTAGATTTGATAATGTACTTCAGATCTTAATACCCAATTTTAATTTTATTTCAGGGACTTGACTTATAACCAACTAACTCGTTTGGACGAGTCCACCTTTCTGGGCTTGAATTTACTGGAAAGTTTGTACCTGGGAGACAATCGAGTGAGTTACATTGCCGACAGAGTCTTCACTGGCTTGTCAAACCTGCTCACACTGTAAGTACATAGGACATGTTGAATTATACTGCACATCCGCACCGAACAAACTATTGTGTTACAAAACTACACGGAATACAACAACAACAAGATTGCATTTATAGAGCACCTTTCACGTCGGGAGGACGTCCCAAGGCGCTGGACAGTTGGGTTGGGACCCGAGCAGGGGGGAAATGGTCAGGGTGAGGGGAGGGAAGGGAGGGAGCAAGGAGGGGGTAGAGAGTCGAGAGGGGAGGTGAAGGCACGGTCGAAGAGAACGGCTCCTAATACGATTCACTGATGCACTAACACACGCTCCACACAGCTTATAACTGAGCGCTGTGCACAGTAACTGCCCCGATTAACCATATTAACATTTTCTTTCTTGCTGCAGTGATCTCAGGAATAATGAAATCTCATGGGCAATTGAAGATTCAAATGGAGCTTTCTCTGGTTTGGAAAAGCTCAACAAACTGTACGTAACACACTTCAGAATCATTTTCCCATTCTTTCTAACTAACATGCTCCTCGGCAGACATTGCCACCTATTAATTATTGAATGCTAATTTCACATATTTTTGTGTGTAGGATCCTGCAGGGAAGCAAAATAACATCCATTACAAGGCGAGCTTTTACTGGGCTTGAAGCTCTGGAATACCTGTAAGTATGAAAGGAATCAGGCGAGTGCGTGCGACTCAGTCACCACATGGGGAGGGGGAAAGTTTCACTTTTGGTTGATTTTCAAAAGTGAAATCAGTGGAATAAAGGCATTCTCGAAGAAATCAAATCTAGAAAGCAGTCCGTTGATTTAATAGACCTAATGATTTAGTATGCAGATTTTGCTGCAGACTGTACAAACTGGGGTGCAATCTAGGTCTATAAAGAGAGGAGACCTGCTGCATTGGCTCCAGTGCTAATCACATTGCACATACATTAGATTATTGGAGCAGTATATATAAACCCGCTCTATACCATCGTTCAGTGCTGTAGCTTGTGGGGAAGGGACTGTTACAGTATGTAATATGAAACTGGATCTAAATTCATAATTTTATTTATTTCAGGGATTTGAGTAACAATTCCATCATGTCTGTTCAAGCAAACGCTTTCACACAAATGAAACTGAAGGAACTGTGAGTATTTAAACAATGACAACTTGTAAAGGCCAGTTATCACGAGTCACATTTGCTCGGATTTGAGTTTGAGCGAGGAGATATAACCTGTAAAGTAACCTGAGTTGGCTTGAGTTTGGGAATTTAATCCTTCAGTACTGTTTAACTGGTAAAACCGGACCGTCTGTTCATTCTTTCTCTGCTGCTTTCAGGAGGCTGAACACAAGCAGTCTTCTCTGTGACTGCCAGCTCAGGTGGCTGCCCCAATGGCTGCTCAGCACACGGTTTGAACACCAGGTTCATGCCAGCTGTGGACACCCGGCCTGGCTCACAGGAAGGAGCATCTTTAGTGTGGCTGCAGACAACTTCATCTGTGGTTTGTATCATTCGTTTAGCTGAGCTGCTCCTCATGGCCAACCCTTCACAGGCCGAGGTTAGACCTGCCTACGTGTGGCTCCCGCTTTCCCTCAGTGACTGATTGTTTCTGTGCAGATGATTTCCCGAAGCCACAGATCACGGTGCAGCCGAAGACCATGGTGGCCCTGAGGGGCAGGAACGTGAGCTTCACCTGCTCAGCCGGCAGCAGCAGTGACTCCCCCATGGCCACCGTGTGGCGGAAGGACAGTGAGGTGCTGTACGATGCTGAGATCCAGAACTATTCGAGAGTGAGAGGGCCAGATGGCGAGTTTGTTGAGCACACTACAGTGCTCCAGATCCATAGCGTAAACTTCACTGACGAAGGCCGGTACCAGTGTGTTGTCACTAATTACTTTGGCTCCAATTACTCCAACAAGGCCAAGCTGACTGTCAACGGTACGTGGCTTTGTATATGCTGTTTTTTCTCAGAATGGGTATCATTCATACATCTTTGTGTAAATGTAATGTGTAATACCCCAAGTAAAGCCAACCACATCACACACACCTTGTGATGGACAGGGTTACAAGGGGATTTTAATGAGCTTGAAAGATTTTAGCTCATTTTTTCTCCAAACTGAGGGGCAGACCTGACCAACTATGACTGTGAGTGTGAGCAGTGGTGAGTGAGCAGCCAGGCGTGTGAGTGTTTTGTGGGGGCAGAATTTACCTGTGCACACACTGGCTGGTCCTGGCACGGGTTCTACACTGTGGCTTCACCGACAAGCACACTTATGAGTTATTTAGCTATGGATAAATTTACTCACTCACGTGATGGGAGGACACAATGAACTGACAGCAAACATGTGGAAATCACCTGTTCACTTCAGATTCCCACAGCATGCATCGTCAATCTGCTTTTGGTTAGATTTCATACAAACATGAATTAACATGAAAGTCGTGTGATTGGACTTTCTATGTGATGTAAAGTCAGAACAAAAGTCCTCAGCAGCAGATCTGTGCAAAGCTATTTAATTTTGAATAGTCTGTGGAAAGGTGGCCTCGTGTTCCAATGATTCTGTACCTACCGCAGGCTTGTCTAATCTGCTCTGTGCCTTGCGCTGTGAAAGGTAATCTGCTGAGAACATCTCGTTAAGAAGCTGATTCTTCACAGAATTTTCTAATTTTTTAAAACTTTGGTTCAGAACTTCCTTCCTTTCTGAAAACCCCAATGGACCTGACCATCCGCACGGGGGCGATGGCGCGGCTGGAGTGTGCGGCAGAGGGACACCCAGTACCACAGATCGCTTGGCAGAAGGACGGTGGCACAGACTTCCCTGCAGCTCGAGAGAGGCGCATGCATGTCATGCCAGAGGATGACGTGTTCTTTATCGCGAAGGTGAAGAGTGAGGACATGGGGATGTACAGCTGCACAGCTCAAAACGCTGCTGGAACCATCTCAGCCAATGCCACCCTCACTATCCTAGGTCAGTGCTGCAGACAGCTTGTGGCTCTCCACAGGACATCGCAGAGAATGGACAATGGGGAGTCGTATTCCTGAAATCACACAAACAGGAAACACCTTCCCCTGTTAATTGTTAAGTGAGCAGTGATTAAAACATGTTAATTAAATTAATTAACAAATCACCCATAACAATATACAGTCAATTCACTTTACAATATATTAGTATTATTCTGATTATTATTATGATAATTAACCAAAGTGAATACTTTTCATTCTGTTTAGCATTATAACAAAGCTTTGGAGCTTTAGTCACTTCCCCCCCCACTCCCGCCACCTTTGCTCGGTGTCCGTGCTTGTCCTTGTGAAGCACTCCTACATATTATCCGACTTACAGAGTGCTATATAAGTGTAAGTTGTTGTTTTTCCAACAGTAATGTTTAGCTCTGGGGAGAGACACTCAGGTAGCATGAATCTCTATGAAAATAGGATCAGAGCGTCTCTGGTGTTTCACACGTACTGTGACCGTGTTACTTGGCATAATCACAATGTCTCAAGACTGAAGAGCTGTAGATCCTATTATTGTTCACATATAAAATATGCAGTACCCGTGCACATTACAGTCCATCCTCTGAAGTTGTTTGAGATGTCTTCCTAATACGGAAAGCACTACCTAATGCATTGGTTATGATTGAATCTTCTGCTTTCATACGTGCACTGATACACATACTGATGCATATAAGAATCTTAAACACATTGTGTTGGAGTTTAATGCAGTGGATCCTTTTCCCTTCTCAGAAACGCCTTCATTCATGCGGCCTCTGGAAAACCGGACAGTTGCTAAAGGGGAGACGGCCGTGTTACAGTGCATCGCAGGCGGGAGCCCTCCTCCTCGCTTGAACTGGACCAAGGATGACGGCCCTCTGGCTGTGACCGACAGACACTTCTTTGTTGCTGGCAACCAGCTGCTGATTATTGTTGATGCAGGTCCAGGGGATGTCGGGAAATACACGTGTGTTATGTCAAATACACTCGGGACTGCACGTGGTCACATTTACCTGAATGTGGTCCTCGCTTCAAATTGTAACCCGTTGCAGAAAAGCTTTGAGGAGGACGGTTGGACAACCATTGGGATTGTGATCATTGTTGTGGTTGTTTGTGTGGTGGGGACGTCGCTTGTCTGGGTGATTGTCATATATCACATGAGGAGGAAGAGCGAGGAGTACAGGATGACCAGCACAGGTCAGGACACCTCTCACACATACAGTGCACAGTCATGACTGTTTAATAACATCTACCAAGTGAGAGGGGCTTGAATTTGTATTGAGTCAGAGTTTTGGATTGAGCTCATACCAAGCCTGGGTTCTGTGATCATTGAGATGTGAAGTAGTTCTTCTGGTCAGTGCAAAACTCCAGTGAAGCTGCTTGTTTAAAAGCAATGGCATCCAGCACAGGGCCCATCACTCTGTCTACAGGAGGCTTTGATGGAGATTTATTGCTGTGGGGACGTGGATGTTTACAGTGTGCAATAACCCAAATGCTTTCATTGAATTGCTTACGTTAAATATACAGTAAACAAAAAACTGCATGTAACAGATTGAAACAAATAGCTGAAGCTAAGTCTTGCATTTGATTTAGTGCCTTATCAGTAGACCTGTAGCTCAGTGGTTAGAGCACTTGCCTTGCAAGCGAGACACCTGGGTTCAATTCCTGGCAGGGTGAAACCTTGGGCAAGTTTCCTTACTCCACACAGAGCCTAATAATAATCCCTCCAAAACCCAAAACAATAATAAATTGGTCATTTTCAACCCACGACTGTTTGTGGAAAGCTGCTGTGCACAATTGACTGCTGCGTTTCGCCCACAAATATACAGTCAATTCACTTTACAGTATATTCTGTGAAGCGCTTTGAGACATTGAGAAGACGTGAAAAAGCGCTATATCAAATGCAAGGATTATTATTATTATTTATTATCATATTATTGAAATGTCACAAAAATACCTAATAGGATTTACTGTAAAGTGCAGTGACTGTGTATTTGAAGGTGAATGCAGCAGCCAACTTATACATAGCAATATCTTACAAACAGCCATGGGCGATTGTTGGCCAGAACACCGGGAGAAATTCCTTGCACTTAATGAATAGTACCATGGGATCTTTATCTTTCTCCTGAACAGTCAGACTGGTTTAATGTCTCAGCCAAACAATGCATTAGTGTCAGCCTAGACTATGAGCTTAAAGTCCTAATGTGAAGCTTGAACACTCAACTTCTGACTCAGAAACCAGAGTAATACCAGCTAAGACTAAATTAAGTATTCTAAATGAAATGAAGTGTTTCGTGTTTCCTAGATGAGATGAATTTACCAGCGGATATCCCAAGCTACCTGTCCTCTCAAGGAACACTGTCTGAGCCCCAGGAAGGCTACAGCAACTCCGAGGCTGGAAGCCACCAGCAGCTCATGGCGTCCACAGCGCGCGGCTACATACACAAGGGAATGGATGGTGAGGAGTCCTTGGTGGCTGGTGCCCATTCTCCCTGTCTCACCCCACCCGCCTCTCCCCTCCCACTTCCTCCCCACCCCCCCCCCCACAACCCCCCTGAACAACATTGTTCTGAATTTCTATTATTTTTCACCTATTAGGTATTTGTTACCTAGACACTGGGAGTGAGATGGAAGCAGATGCTCTCACACCCCCACTGGCAGCGAGTCTGCACGGAATGTACAGCACAGGTGGCGGCTTCCACCCCAGTGATGTCCCAACAGACCTTGCTCAGCAAATCGCTCCAGGTAACCTCTCCCCCTTTCCCCCCGCCTCCCCCATCCACCCTAAACCCCCCCCCTCCAGTCCCTGCCCAATATCAGGAGCAATGCAAGATCTGTCTAAGATCATTACTCGTCTCACGACTCTGGCTCACTGCCTTACATGGTACAGGGAAGATGGTGGATCAGACCGATCATCTCACAGTGTATTGTATTGGAATCCAAGACATCAAGCTGATGTGTTGCTACATCCACCTACACCGGCCAGCTGAGGGGACTGAGTGTGTGTGGCCCAAATGATTGGGAAAAGCTGAATGTTTTTCAATCTATTGTTTCAGGCAGTATTTCTGGACCACTGGTGATCTGCTCGGATTGTTACGATGGCGTTCACATGGTGTCCAGGAGCAGAGACTGTTGCCCATGCACACACCTGCACAAGGACCAGCCTTCAGAGCACCTTATTACCAACATCACAGGACAACTTACACAAGAGAATTCTGCTGCCCATGAGCAGCACGGGGCAGTGGACACAGGCATTGACCTGTCGGGGTATCTAACTAATCACAACAGGATATGTAATCCAGGAGCTGCTCCACAGCACAGTACTGGTGAGCAGTTTACATGCTGTTACATGTCTATCACATGTCCAACTGCTTTTACATACCAGACAATTGGCCAATGCGGACTGTTGTTTGCCCCCGAATCCTGGTTGGCTTAGTCAGGCTGACTGTCCTGTGAGACTGTCTTTACTGTAGTTGTATCCACAATAGAGAGTTCTCTTGGCATTGAAATGCCTTTCCTCCTGAAGTGCTGCTAATGTTGTTATTCCCTCCACTGAGCGACAATGCCCTCTGATACCTTTCACAAGTGGCTATTATTCTTCTGTGAGCCTTGACAGCAACTGTCAGGAGAGGATTTTGACACTAAACTCTGTCCTCACCTTCCCCAAACTCCTTGAGGACCACAATAGCAAGCCGGTGTCTGACTAATTATGGCTCTCTAACCCAAAGCATTGAGGCTTGGCTGACCTCAGGCCTTCCTATCTGAATGACTCGACTGCTTGGGGTAAACTCACTGAGGAAAGTTTCAAACACCTGCGGCCAGCTTCTGGGTTTTGACTTTCAGCTGTGTGTTTGTGATGAATACGAATTTAAGCGTATTTCAACAAAGCAAACGGTTCCTACCAACGAGTGATTGTGAGATGTCAGAGGCTGGTTACACTTTTATTATTCTCCAGTCGCAATCTCTTAATTTTCTGTTTTTCTTCTTTGCTAGAATCTTGCTCCCGGTGTCCATGGAGTTTGAATATGGACTTGGGACTGCTCGCTCGCTCCTGTTATTCCCAACAAGCAGTGACTGCTCAGGTGCCTATGGATAGTGAGGATGAGGCAGATCGTGGTGTCAGCACAGCCAGCCTGAGCCACAGAAGCAGTGAGAGGACTCTCGCTGTACAGCTGTACGGTGCCACCACGTAGATCACTGTGGTGCAGAACTGATGGTAAACTACACACCTGAAGCTTCACCGACTACCTCACAATGCTGACACTGAAACCAAACATGTCTGTTAGGATTAGCTTCACTTATTAAAGTCTTGAGCAGCTTGTGCTTGAGCGGTTTTACCAGTATATGGAAGGGGAGATGAGAGTTTACTCTCCCATGCTGCTCTCCCACACAATTTCCAGGATATGGATAAGTAATGTGTTGTATGTGTTCTTACATCGGAAGCGATTTTATGGTAATCTGGGTTGTGGTTCTACTTTGTGTCTTGTGTTGGACAGAATGTACTAATAGTTAAAAATGGTAAAATCTCTTCATGTTCCCAAATGGGAATTTCAAGATCTGTCGGCACAAAGCATCACCAGTCACAGCTGACACCTGTACTTCGTATTTGGGGAGAATTTATTAACAGAACCTCAAATTCCAAATGTTAACACTGCTTAAAGAAGAGGTGAAGACAAAGTCTGTACTGCAGGAGTGAGCCCCAGCGACTGGGCCCCAGCTCGAATCTCTCTTATACTGTGGCCAAGGTCTGGAGATGATCATAAACGCACATCTTATTTTTGCAAAATGTTGATTACATTTCGTGGCCAGAGGCAGATAACCTGCTGATGCTGAAACCCTTCAAACTGTTCAGTTCTGCATCAAGTATCTTCCAAGTGGCTTGTTTTATTTTCAGCAAAACAACAGGCTGGAACTTTAGCTATAAACTGATTATTGCATTTATAACTTTTATATTCTCTAGTAAACTGAAGTGAAAAGCCTTGTAAATCATTTTGCTTTTATAATTATGGTCCTCCAGAGCTTAATGAGTGACATACACATATAATGCTATATTCTACATCAGCAGCAAGGGATGCTGTCTAGGGTGACAGTGAACCATAACTTAACCAATCTCGATAAAGTGACCAAACATTGAGCTCTCTCACTATCCTCTGATTCTGCCTTTTCTGTATATACATTTCCTAATCTCATAGCCTCATTTTGTATTGCCTCATAATCTTGCATTACTCTCTGCTTTCTCTCATGTCCACAACATCCCCAACTCTGCCTTTCCCTGAGCAGCTGAAATCTTTATTCACGCCTTTATCATCTTAGACATTGCCTACTCTAATGTTGTCTCCTCAAAACTTGTTGACACCTCATCTACTCTTCAGCCTTGCTGAAGTTCTGTTTCCTACGCCTGAGCCTTTCACCTGTCATTTCTATCAGCTCTGTAGATGGAGATTTTGTACTTGATATGTTAAATGGTCAGAGGTGTCAATATGATGTGTGCTTGGACTAGAGGTTTGTGCTCATATCTTCCACTTCGATTGCACCTGCTTCTCTAGCTGTGAAGGAGTTTCAGATGCCACGATTACATAGCAGATTTCTGATGGAAGGAGAGACAAATGGGAATCTTCTATAGTGGAACAGATATTTGTAAAACTTTATATTTGAGAAACCTAGGCCCACAGTGCAGGACTATCTTTGTTGAAAACCATGAGGGAGAAGATGGAATAAACAAGAAGTGATGGTGAGAGGTGCTATAAATCTGCTGATTATTTTGAAGAATTTACCTCTAACTGATGTGTATTGCTTTCGGAGGGTTAAGTGATTGAACAGGTTCCTTGAACAAAACCTGCATATAGCAGATTAACAGACTATGTTAACCATTGTCCTTTATGTATATTTATACCTTACTGGGTTCTATAAGGCATGTGTAAAATAAACTTCTGTAAAATAGCTTGTATTTCTGTATACAATAAAATCCAGGAAATGACAGTAATGTTGTTTGAGAGCTGAGTCAGTGGGTGTTATTAATGAGGTTGCTCTGTATTTGCTAAATGAAAATGTACTTGTGTTCTCATGTTCTTATGTACTTGAAGCAACCTTGAGATTTGGTAGACAGTGTTCCTCTCACAGGTAGTTTAAAACCAAACAAAATGTCTTATATAGCTAATAATAATAATCCTTGCATTTGATATAGCGCTTTTCATGTCTTCAAAGCGCTTCACAGAATAGACTGTAAAGTGAATTGACTGTGTGTATGTGGGCTAAAGAGGTAACGTACAAGCTGAGAGAGGAGACTTATAAAATTACATGTCTTGTGCTGTTTTGGTTCTCACAATTTCAAAAGGATATTCAGTTTGTTGGAGAAATGAAGCGGGGGGGTTGTCAGATTAGTTCAAAATTTAGACAGCCGAGGTTTCCTTAGTTTCTAAAAATTTGAATTCAGAGAAGTTTTTCTGTTGTGTAGAAATTGAAGGACAACAACCCATTTATCCTGACACATTCCTGTGAGCTAAAAAGATTTGGGTTAATAGATTTATAATAATAATATATTCAGTATATACATTGAAGAAATCTTGTTTGATGGATGGTGATGCCTGTCTGATATTAATTGGGTTCAATTCGGAGCCCAAGCCCAGAATTCAAACTTCAGCTTTGATTGTGAAAAGAAAAAACAGCTTGCATTTATATACAACAACAACAAGATTACATTTGTATTGCGCCTTTCATGTCAGGAGGACGCCCCGAGGCGCTGAAATGCCCCTCATGCAGGGCAACATCCCAGAGCGCTTAATAGCCTACTCAAGGATAATGTCTCAGAAACTTTACAAAGACTAAATGGAAACCAAGCAAGGGAGGAGTGGGAGGTGGCCTTATAATAGAGATTTTTAGGTGAGATTTAGACTTTGAGAAGGGAGCAAAACAGAGGGGTAGAGTGCCACAGTTTCCAAGGTTATCAGCAATTTTGGGGAGATGGGGATAGAGTTGGCCAATGTGATGGAAGTGAAGAAAAGCAGTCTGACAGTGACCGAATGCAAAGAAAGGAGAGCAGTGATTCAAACAGAATGCAAAGTTTGAGAGAGAGGTCAGGGTGGTTGAAGAAGGCAATTGGCCAAAAACGCAATCTGTAAAAAAAAAAAAACTAACCTTGTGAAGAGCTTAACCCATCCTACACTTCTCTTTCAGGTGTCTTCACTTTGTTTCCACGAATGGTTTTTCCTCCAGCCCCCGCACTGTCTCATGCGGTGTCCCTCAAGGCTCTGTCCTCGGTCCCCTCTTCTTCACCCTCTATATGCTCCCCCTTGGTGACATCATCCGCAGACATGGAGTTAACTTCCACTTGTACACGGATGACACCCAACTCTACCTTTCCTCCTCTACCCTCAACTCCACGACCCCCGATGTCCTGACAGTTGCCTGGCCGACATTGAGTCCTGGACGAGAGACAACTTTCTTCAGCTCAACGTGCGTAAAACTGAGGCCCTCCTGATTGGCTCACGTCAGTGCCTCCGCACCTCAGGCGCTGACAGCATTAGCATCCAAGGCTGCACTCTCCACCTCTCAAAGCCATCAGGAACCTCGGCGTTCTGTTCGACCCTGAGCTGTCCTTTCTCCATCATATCCGCGCCACAACTGGCACCGCCCTCCATCACCTCCGGAATGTCGCCAGACTATGGCACTACCTCACCCCTCACGCGGCTGAAACCCTGGTCCACGCCTTTATCACCTCAAGGCTGGACTATGGGAACTCTCTCCTCGCCGGCCTTCCCAGCACCTCCCACCACAAGCTGCAGGTCATTCAGAACTCTGCAGCTCGTGTACTGTCCCGCACCAGGCTTCGAGATTACATCACTCCCACCCTCGCTCGCCTCCACTGGCTCCCCATCTCCCAGAGAATCGATTTCAAGATCCTCATCCTCACCTACAAGGCCATTCACGGCCTCGCTCCCTCCTACCTCTCCGACCTATTATCCCCCTACCTACCTGCCCGTACCCTCCATTCCTCTGGCTCCGGTCTGCTCCACATTCCCCGCCCCAACCGCCCTACCATCGGTGGTCGGGCCTTCAGCTCTCAGCCCCCAGTGCCTTCGCCTTGCCTCCTCCCTTTCCTCCTTCAAGGCCGGTCTCAAGACCTTTCTCTTTGACCGTGCCGTCGGCTCCCCTCTCGACTCTATACCCCCTCCTCGCTTCCTCCCTTCCCTCCCCCTGACCATTTCCCCCCAGTGCTCGGGTCCTGACCCAACTGTACAGCGCCTTGGGACGTCCTCCTGATGTGAAAGGGGCTCTATAAATGGAATCTTGTTGTTGTCTAAGTCAGTTGCTATGTAGATTTCCTGTGTTATATTGTTCACTTTATCAAACAATAGATGGTGCGTTTGCTAAAGAAGTAATGAGTTGTATCTTGTCTCATTCTGGTGCATCCAAAGTCTTTAAAGTCTGTTATTATTATTATCTTGGATATGGTTCTATGAGGAACCCAAACACTCTGTCCTTTGCCCATGTGATCATTTCATTTGTGGAGTCCTGTGGCTCAGTGGTTAGAGCACTCGCTTTGCAAGCGAGAGACCTGAGTTCAATCCCAGGCAGAGGGCGAAACCTTGGGCAAGTTTCCTTACTCCACACAGAGCCTAATAATAATCCCTCCAAAACAAAAAACAATAATAAATTGGTCATTTACAATCTACGACTGTTTGTGGGACATTGCTGTGCGCAATTGGCTGCTGCGTTCGCCCACAAATATACAGTCAATTCACTTTACAGTGTGTTCTGTGAAGCACTTTGGGACGTCCTCCTGACGTGAAAAGCGCTATATAAATGGAATCTTGTTGTTGTTGTATATCAAATGCAAGGATTATTATTATTATTAGGTGGGAGCCAAGCAGGATATTCAATGAGTGATTCAAATTGACCCGAGTCCTGCCTTGTTGGCAATTCACATATTGGCCACCAGTGGGAACTGTCTGATTTCCTTCCCCCTGGACCTTTGAGGCTAATTATATTCCCAAATTATCTGAGTTTCAAGGAGCCATTATTGGTGTCATGGATCCTGGCAACAGGACAGTGACATCAGGCACTTACAGCGGGTGACAAGGATGCGGGGGCAGGAATCATTAGTCTGTGCATATAGGAAACTCAGAGGAGCCAGGTTTCCCTACAGACCCTTGAAGAACTGCAGACCCACCTAGTCAGGACCAGGGAGAGAGAGGGAGTGAGGGGGAGAGAGAGAGGGGGGGGGGGGGGGGGAGGAGGGAGGCAGAGAGAAAGAGGGGAGGAGGGAGTCAGAGAGAGAGAGCAGTCCTCTCGGCTGGACTACAACGCCCTCCTCATCGGTCTCCCATCCACCACCATCCATAAAATCCAAATCATTCAAAACTCTGCCGCCCGCGTTTTCACCCGCACAAAACTCCGCTCCCCAGTCCTGGCCAGACTGCACTGGCTGCCTATCCCAGATAGGATCGATTTCAAGATCCTCACCCTCGTATTCAAGCCCCTGCACTCCTCTGTACCCCCCTACCTCTCTGACCTCTCTCCTCAAAACAGTACCCGTTGCCTCCGTTCCTCTGGGTCTGGCCTCCTCCTCGTCTCCCGAGTCCTCTGCTCTACCCTCGGCGGCCGTACCTTCAGCCACTATGCCCCGAGGCCCTGGAACTGCCTTCCTCACTCCCTTCGTCTCGTCCCCTCTCTTCCCATTTTCAGGTCTCTGCTGAAGTCCTTTCTTTTCGACCGCGCCTTTGGTCACCTTCCTCCCCCTCCCCCCCTGGCTCGGCCCCAGGATCCGTTACTGTAAAGCACTCTGAGACGCCGTCCGGAGGGCGCTATATAAATCCAAGTTGTTGTTGAGAGAGGGAGGGAGGAGGGAGGGAGAGAGAGAGGGAGAAAGAATTCTATTACAATAAACTATCTGGGATTTCCATGTGGATGTGGGTGAAGCCACGTAAAAGGTTCCCCCCAAAATTGCAGCAACTCCCAATCAGCTGTTTACCTGAGCCACGACACACCCCGCCCATGTGACACAACAACATTTGTATAGCGCCTTTCACGTTGGGAGGATGTTCCAGTGACAGCATTTCAGAACTAAGCTGGGGTTGGGGGGGTAAAGGAGGGTTGGAGAAGGGGGCTGTGGCCGATGGCATGGTTGAAGAGGAGAGTCTTGAGGCGGGACTTGAAGGAGGCTAAGGAGGGGCCGAGGGGGAGTGATTGGGAGATGGAATTCCAGAGGTTCAGGGCAGAGTGGCTGAACGTTCTCCCGCCAATGGTGGGGCGTGTGGTTCGGGGGACGTGGAGCAGCCAGAGCCGGCTGAGCGGAGGAAACGGGCGGCTTGGTAGGGGGTTAGGAGCTCGCAGAGGTAGGGGGGTGGGCGAGGCCATGGGGGGCTTTGTATGTGAGGACCAGGATGTTGAACTGGATCCTCTGAAGGATAGGGAGGCAGTGGAGTCGGGCGAGAGTGGGGGAGATGGGGTCACTGGGGGAGTTTGGTGCGGGAGAGGACACGGGCTGCAGAGTTCTGGATTATCTGCAGCTGTGGAGGGAGGAGTTGGGAAGGCCGACACGCAGGGAGTTTGCATAGTGGAGCCCGGAGGTGATGAAGCCATGAACAAGAGTTTCAGCGCCTGAGGGGTGAGGCAGTGGCGGAGTCGGGAGATGTTACGGAGGTGAGGGAAGGCCGAGCGGGTCATGGCTTAGATGTGGGAAGAAAAGACAGTTGAGGGTCGAACAAGACACCTGAGTCCCTGACACGCCCCGCCCTCTCCGACACGCCCCGCCCTCTCCGACACGCCCCGCCCTCTCCGACACGCCCCGCCCTCTCCGACACGCCCCGCCCTCTCCGACACGCCCCGCCCTCTCCGACACGCCCCGCCCTCTCCGACACGCCCCGCCCCCGTTATACGCCCCGCCCAAAACAAAACGTCCAGCCCATGTGATGACGTCATCACGTCGCAGGCTCTGAGTGACGCCCGGCGGCGCCTGTACCTGAGCCACAGGCGATGCGCTCCCACTGACCGCGGCCCCGCTATGTCCAAGACGCTGCGCCGGCGGCGGCACTGGCTGAGTCGGGCTCAGGACGTCACGGTGACCGGGGAGGCGGGGGCCGCGCTGCTGCTTCGCGGCGGGGCTGAGCTCGGGCACTTCCCCTTCCTCGGCCCCGTGAGCGGCCCCGGCCCCGCGCCCGGAGACATCCTCCTGGAGGTCAACAACACCCCGGTCAGCGGCCTGACCAGCCGGGACGTCCTCGCCGTCATCAGGCACTTCCCCGAACCCGTGAGGGTCCGCACCGTCAGACCAGGTCAGTGCCCCCCCCCCCGGGCCTCCCCCCCGGGCCCCCCCCCCCGGGCCTCCCCCCCCGGGCCTCCCCCCCCCCCCGGGCCTCCCCCCCCCGGGCCTCCCCCCTCCCCGGGCCTCCCCCCACCCCGGGCCTCCCCCCCCCCCCGGGCCTCCCCCCCCCCCCCGGGGCTTCTCTGCTCCACCATCGGCCCCTGTGCTGTCAGCTCGAGCCTCAGTCCCTCCGCCCTCTCGCGGCGCCGCTCCGCGGGAAAGGCTTTTGTTGATGAGACTCAAAATGAGCGACTTCCCGAATGTTTGAAACAGTCCTTTCTGTCTCTGTGGATTGTGTTTCCGTTCCCGTGAGCGGCGCTGCAGCGAAACCTGTCACAGCCGCACAGGCCTCAGTGCCGCCGCTCTCCCGGTGGGAATCCCGGTCAGAGCTGCGCACACACTGTGTGTCTGATTTGCCTCTAATCCTTTCTATTGGTCACAAGAAAGGACATTGGATTTTGACAAACATTCAGAAGAATCCGAGGTATTTTTGTGATCAAATGACTGCAGACTTGACCGCCGGTGGTCCCGACTGCCCGGGGGCTGGTCCCGGGGTCCCGGGGGCTGGTCCCGGGGGCTGGTCCCGGGGTCCCGGGGGCCGGTCCCGGGGTCCCGGGGGGTGGTCCCGGGGTCCCGGGGTCCCGGGGGCCGGTCCCGGGGGGTGGTCCCGGGGTCCCGGGGTCCCGGGGGGTGGTCCTCGCTCCAGGTTCTCCAGTTTTGCTGAGACTGCGGCTCGTTTGCATGACTTAGAAATTGCACCCAATACACGGTGTGAGCCCACACGGTGCCCGATTGCTGATTGTTTTAACATCTTAGAAACTGGAGAAGGATTATTATCATTATTATACGGTGGTCCTCATAACGATACTGTATTCTCCCTCTACAGCTCCGCTGCCCCACCACCTCTCTGAGGACATCTCATACTGGAGGCACGTACTGTCTCATGAGTATTATAGTTATCTATTGAGAATCGGTTGAGCAATAATATAACCAATTCTGTGCTGTGTTCCAGTTGAACAAAATATTTCTCTGCTTCTGGAAAGATGTGTTGCTCATTGAGATAATGGACCTTTCAGTTGTGTCATTCTGCTGCCTCATCATTGCTGACTGAGATTGTGGTCAATTTTACCAATGTGGACGTTTAGGATCATATGAGAATCTGTAAGATTCAATCATATTTGGTTAAAATGTGTGAACACTCAGCAGGTCAGGCAGAATCTATGGAGAGAGGAAAGTTGAGTTAATGTTTCAGATCGATAACCTGACCTGCTGAGTGTTTCCAGCGACTTCTATTTTTATTTCAGATTTCTAGCATCTGCAGTACAGTATTTTGCTTTTTGGTTAAAAGCCTATTCACTAAATGTTTAAGGCTGATTTTTATCTAAAATGTAATTTAAGAAAATTGTGAGAAATACTTAAATGCCATTTGCATTTTCTTCTAGTCTTACCAAGTTCCTGAATGGAGTATTATTACCAGAATTTACTGTCATAAGCATTGTTCATTTTGAACTGTTTGATGTTTAATATTTCATAGACAACCTTTCACTGGCCCCTACAACAAGATCCACTCTTGTAGTCTGAGTGTTTCCCAATACTGTGTAAATAATTCTAAAAGCTCCATCAATCACTTAATGATGAATTGGATTGCCTGCTGTGGTACTGATTGAGGCTTCCAAACCCACACCCCGGTCTGGTTCTGTGCTGAGACAGCAGCAGGAATGTGAAATTCTCCTCGGTGACCCTTGAGGAGGGACAGATGAGGAAGTTTATTGCCCCTTGTCTAAGCTCAAATGGACAATGACTTGGATGAAGTCCCACAAATTTGCTGCTGTTTGGAACTGTTTCCAGGATGAGATGCTGCCTTCAGAAAGGGTCAGAATTGGGGGGGTGGGGGGGACAATATTTTATGTGCAGATTTAGATAAATTCCCATCTTTTTAAGAATGATTTTGTATTATTCAGTATTTTGTGGAAGCACATCTATTATTCCTTTTGAGGTTTATGTCTCAAGCAGCATTAACGTTTGGTGAAAGTTATTTCCTATGTTAGAAATAATGCCACACTGCAGATTTATCGAGCTGAGTCTGTGGTGTGCAATCTATTCCACGTTCCCAGTAGAAAGTTGTTTTTTTTTTAAAAAAATTCTCTTGTTCACTGTAAACATGTTGTTGGCAGATGTGAGCAGGATCTGGCTGGAACCGGGATCCATACTTTGGGAAGGGATGGGAGAGGGAAAGGCAACTGTGAGGCATGGCTCACATTGATTCTCAATTGATGTTGCAGAACTATTTTTGATGCAGTTGGTGAAGTGAAGGGTGGGATTGAGATGAGTAATAATAATTAATCCTTGCATTAATATAGTGCTTTCCAAGTCGGTAGAATGAATGTTTCAAAATGCTTCACAGGATATACCATCAAGTGGAGTGACTGGCTTTTGTGGATGAACACAAAACAATGTCTGACAAACAGCCATGAAGCAAATGACTGATTTTATTTGTGGGATTATTGGCCATTGGATTTTTAACATCCACCTGAATAGTCAAATGTGGCCTCAGTTTAATGTCTCATCCAAAGGACAGCACTTCAACCAATACAGCATACTTCCAACACTGACTAATGTTGGTACCTAGTTATTGCAGGAACTACTCCCAGGTCAGACTCATGGGTAAGACAGAAAACAGGTCCCTCTACATTGGACAGTTCTGCACTCCTAGATCAAATGCCACAGGAGATTGATATGGAATAAAGATTCCTCCACACCATTTGTCACTTGCAGGTGAGATAGAGTGGATTAGGTTTAGTGAAGCTCTCTTATAAACTGTCCCAACACTTTGTCTTAAACCTGACCATCCTTGCTGTGTGAGCAGTTAATTTGCCTTACTGTGCACTTCCATCTTATATGTTGAACTGGAATTCAATGAAGACCTTACAGGTGAGAGGCTTGTGTTTTAATCTGCTCTGGTGTCTACTTCTGCACAGCTGAGCATCTCTGTGGGTATTGAATGGCTGCAGTGAAGTTCAGCACTTTCCTGTAGTGAGATGCCTCTTCACCAAACATGATGCTGCTGCTCATTTCCTGTATGTGTTGATACTTGGCCCTGGTGGGTAACAGGTCTTCTGATTACACATTGTTGCACTCCTCACTAAAGAGGATTTAGTAAATCCGATCTTTAAAATGCTGCCAATAAAGAGCTTACAACTTTCTTTAATCAGAGAGTTCTGATATTCGTTCAGCTGTTTGCACCTGTAATGAAAAAACATTATGGGATATAGTACATAGGTAGTTCGGGACCTATGTATATGCGACCGTCAAGAAGGTGGAAGGTGAACCAGATGGATCGTGGTCTTTTTTCGTCTAGCATTTCTTATATTAATGCTGGAGACTTTGTTTTAATACAAAGCAGTCAGGATTGTACTCCAGCCTCGTCCGTTCATTTACAAAACGTAAAAAAAATTTGATTCTACAAAACCAATAGAACCACCAGGACCTTTCTGCCCAACATCACGAACTTTAGTTTTTATATTTCAGAAGCACTTCTCAGCTAAAGAACAATGAGTTTGTGCAGCAGTTGAGCTTCACCCACATCTCTGTGGCATTGTCTGATTATGAAGATGATTTGCTGAGTGTGAGTACAGTCAGGTCAGTGGGTGAATGGTGGGTGCTGCCCTCCTACCAGACCCTAACCAGCTATTGGCTTTTGGAATTGTGTATGAAGATCAGCTGTGTTTTTAGTAAATGGAAATGCCAACCGCTCTATGTTTCCTCTTCTAACGTGATTGTAAGAATCTTTTTTTTTGGTGATTCTTAATGCTAATCCAAATACTCCATCTGTGTCGCCTAGGTCATGTGCTCTTGACTTTAGTCATGTAATTAGGAAGAGACATTGAGAGGAAGCTAAAGTCTTCTCCATGGATGAGGCTGCCTCTGGCCTGCTCCTGGGAGACCAGCTCAGGAGCAACATTGATGGAAGCTTTGGCCAGTTCACCAGGTGCTTCAGCGTCACGTGTCATCTCTGGGAAGATGTTCATGGTGAAGCTTTCTCTTTAAATGTAAAACAAGATGATGGTGATAGATTTGATGAGAGATGGGAATGATGTGAATAGGGCTCACGGCTGCCTGCAGTTCCAGTCCATTAAATGAAATGCACTTAATGGACTAAACAGCGGTTACTTGGTGCACAGACGCTATCTGATGTGCTAGCACTGGCTGCATGCAGAAAGTCTTTTTGTTGGATTTCGTAACTATTTATGATTGTGTGTCTGTGTGAATGTGTTATGCTCCCACACTGCTGACATAAGCACATACGAATTTGAAGTGAAATTCTTCTCTACGTTTCAGTCACTGGTGTATCTTGACAAATACTGCCACCCATCTCCTGAGCACTGGGTCATTGACAGGTAAGTGGAAACCAGTTGGGATTGTTTAATAAAACTAATTACCAGCCTTGGATTTTATTCCCGGAGAGACACAAGTTTAACATCTAGGTCTGCAGTCAGGTTAGCAAGCAGTATTGCTTTCCTGTAACCCGTAATGTCACATATTTAGAATCTGTTGACTGCATCATTGTTGTGTAACTTGAAGGTAAAGGTGTGTTGTTAACCCTGGCATAGCCACACAGTAATTGTTGTTGATTTACACACTGTGACAATAAATAGCAGCCAAGCAGGTTCACTGCCTTTTGTAATTTGAAGCTGTCTCTCCATTCTGTGAAGCATTTTTGTGAACGAGTTTAGATAAACAAAGTTAATGAATAGAAATCTAATTAAAATAGGTATGGGGTCTGTTGCTCGCTTACAGGGAACATTAGGTAGATTAGGGTTTGCTCTGACTGGCTACTAAATGGCATTAAATTCTGCTGCTTCAACAATGGCTGAAGAATGGTGCTTTTTTGATGTCTGTGATGGACAAAATCCACATTAAAGGATTCTCTGAAATTTCAACCATATCAAGAAAATGTCACTACAAACATCA